TGAGTAAAAAATAAAAAGGTTACCATACATTAACCTGAACCATGGTCCTGAAGATGTCCCCAGATAACCTCCTTGCCCCACACTCATGCATCCACACCTGAAGTCTTCAGAAGGCCATGGTTCTTCTCATGTCTTTCCTTCTCTCCTCCATTCCCACAGCATATCCCCTAGGGATCATCAACTCACACCATGGATTTCCATACCTCAGTGCCTTACCCAAAACCTTTCTTAGTCTAGAATGCTTCCTCTTCTTCAGTCTTCACCCCACTCATTAAATGATAGTCTAACTTTGTTATCATTCATGATCATCTTAACATTGTAGTGAGTTTGGATGGCTCCAATATCTGAACCTTGCATTGAATTCCCATTACTGAGTATTGTTTTCTAAGAAGTCCCCTGTATAAAGGTCAAATTTGCATTAAAATATATACAAAACACCCCATCCCTGCCTGTCTTACAGATCAAGCACTGTTCTGTTAGGTGAGCATGCAGACTTAGGCTGTGGGTTGTCTCTGAATTACTGCCTCTTGCCCTGTACCCCAAGGAACAGTGTATTGAGTAATCAAGAGACAAAAATGGTGGTAGGATTAGATCCAGTGTGGGGTTCCTTAACCTTTCCAGTTCCATCACTGAGAAGTTGCATATTTCACAATGCCTTCAACTACAAGGACAGGATAAGACCCAAGACACAATGTCGTCTTCTCTGTGTTTCCTCCATTTCTCTTCTCTACCGATCTAACTACCTCACATGGTAGAATACAAAGGATTTCTTTTTGTGTGTGGGGTATTTTTTTTAATGTGTGTGTATGTTTGGTGTGAATGTAGGTATGTGCACCAAAAGTCAAAGAGGAGGCATGATTTTCAGAAAGATTGGATAGGAAAGACTGGAAAGTCCATGTCTTCTCAATGGCAACTCAGGATGTCATCTCTGAATCTTCTTTTAATTTGAACATAAGCATGTCAATTAGAAATACAAATCTAGTGAAAATCACGTTTCCAGAGAAATGATAAAATAAGTCAGGGTCCTCACGATGTTTCCTCAGCTATGAGTCTTATGGCACATCTCTAGTTTTTCCAGCACTGACTGATACACAAGCCCTGAATGGCAGGGAGAAGCTAAGGCTGGGTGAGGCTCACTCTAATGAGGCACCAAAGACCCTCCGTGGGGGGAAAAGGAGGATACCCCCTGGACGCCAACCTTTCGATTCCCTCCTGTGTTTCTTTTCTGCCTCCTCCTTCACTTCAAGTCACATTCTGGGATGTGAATGTGCTCAGGGGCAGGGAAGGCTGTAATCCCCAGGGCCTTGCACCATAAACTTCATTTCCTCCTCTTATTGCAGTTAACTGCCCATGAACTCTATTAATATTTTGCAAATTGAGATCTCGGAAACATATGTTACTGTTAATTTTAACCTCATGCTAACTAGGATGTGGTCAAAATTTCACAACAAATTCCAAGGGTATTTTGATATGCCTTGGAAAACGCATTTAAAGGTGGCTCTGGGAGATATTTATGTATATACATTTTTTTCTCTGAATCCATATACTTCCTTTCTTAGAGGCAGGCAGAAGTAAATTGTTCGACAGGAGAGTCAAACATAAGGTGAGTCCGTAATGGTGCAGGCTGTAGAAAGAAAAACTCCCAGACCAAAGACAAAGGATAAAGATCTGCTGATGATTACATGGTGTTACATACGGTATTGTTTTTCTTAAAGGCAGCTCTTCATTTAAAACAGTGGTTCAAAACCGGTGTGTGGGTCACAACCTTTTTTGATGTCGAATGACCCTTCCACAGGGGTTGTCAAAGACCATGAGAAAACACAAATATTTACATAATAATTGATAACAGTAGCAAAATGACAGTTAGGAAGTAGCAACTAAAACAATTTTATGGCTGGGGGGGTCACCACAACATGAGGAACTGTATTAAAGGGCCGCAGACTTAGGAAGGTTGAGAACCACTGATTTAAAGAGCTTTAGATTTTTTGAAATTTATGAGGAAAGTAGATTTCAGTACTTCCAAACATAGCATTCTGAAATAACCAAAAGTACAACTTCCGAATATTCCGATTAGTCAAACGAAGAAAGTGTTTCTCACTCCCTCCCCTTCTCGTCCTCCCTCCCTCTCCTGCTCCTCTCATTTCTTATTCTATCACTTCTCTTCCCTTGACTTCCTTAATTTTTTTATTTTAAATGTCATTCACTCAACAGGTATCATTTTTACATGCCAAGAATTGCTATAGCTGTTGTGGACTGAGCAGTAAGCATCTCTCCGAAAAAGATGAGTCACCGGAGGTCATTACCATATCTCACATAACAGCCTCTGAGGTAGGTACTCTGTCCACATGGACGTTAATATATTTTAAAGCTCACATTTCAAAGTCAAAATTTCAGAAATGTTTCCAGCTATACAAAATGGAAGTGTGTGCTTTCTAATAAATATTGAGACCATTTACTCTTCTGTTTGTCAAGATTTCTGTTTTCCCAAAGAGTTCACCATGTTCTTTCAATCAGGACTTTGAGCTGAGGTCAAATCCTGGCTACCCAAATAAGGAAATGGCATGGAAAAATGATGTACTTTCCTCTGTGCAACTAATTCTAAGACAGATAAAAAGAGAATAGGACCACTGGAGAGAGGCCATCTCTATTCCCATATATCTTGCTCTTCCTCACTGCCTCTTGGGTCTTGCCTAAGATTTTGGGCTTGCTTTCCTATACCTTCTTAATCTTTTGGACTCTACCTTCTCTCCTCAGCAATGTCACCCCTTGACTTCAATTACCATTTTTAGGGGTAATATTTTTAGTGTCAAAGTTCCAATCCTTTCAATACATTTAATAGGTATTTAACTATTTGCATTGTAGGGCATCTCCAGATGAAAATGGAGTAAGTTAAGATATAAGCCAGAAAACAACAAAACAAAAAATTTTAGCTACATTTGAAAGGCAATGATGAACACATCACATTTTTAAATCAAATACTGTACAAAGACAATGTTAATCAAAGTTAGTCTATGTTAAAAAAAAATAGAATCCATTATAGGAATTTTTAAACTATTTTACTTCACAAGTCATTTACAAAAATATAGAACACCTCAAGTTACCTGTGACTAGATTGTAGCAATCCTTATCAGTTTTAGAGACCATGATAAAAAAAAATACCTGACATAAACAGCTATGAAAGCAGGGATTCTTTTGTCTCACAATTTGAGGGTCCACAGAGTATCATGTGGTATGGTAGCAAATGTGCCTCTCACTGTGGTGACAGAAGCATGGTCACATGGTTTCACTAGTCAGGAAGTGGAAAGGTGCATTCTCTTCTCAGCTAATTCTCTTATTTCCTCAGTCTGTCATCACAACCTTTGCACAGTGCTGACTGCACTCAGGCTGGGTCTTCCTCCCTCGGTTAAGCCTCCCTTGAAACACCTTCACAGACTCTCCCGGAGGCGTGTCTCCTGCTTGATTCTAATTGAGTCAAACTGGGGATGAGGATGCACCATCCCAGAACTAAAATTGAGAAACTGTGAAAAACATCTTTTATGGAGATAACTATGGTTGTTCTTTCTGTTGTTTTTTGGGACAGGGTCTCACGCCCTGACTAGCCAGGAGCTTTCTATACCCCATACTGGCATCAAACTTATAGGAACCCAAGAGGTTGCACCACTGTACCTGACAAAGTATAGTTTTTGGAATCAGTTTACTTCACTTTTGCTTTGCTTTTCAGTGAGTATCCCATACAATGAAGCCTCAGATAAACTCTATGGTATCTTCACAGCAACAACAAAAACAAGTATTGACAAACCTACATGCTTCAGTTTTCTTATCATCGTAATGAGATAACAATTGTGTCATCTTCTCTATTGTCATAAGACTATAAAGTGATCCTGTAAAGCAACCTCCATATAATAAAACCTTTCTGTTCTGGATAGTCTGCTTATACACAGGGAACAAAATGACCCGCTATTGGTCAAAGATTTACATTAATGAGTACTATGTCCCTGGAAGAAATGGCACTCTGAATAAGGCTTCAAAGACAGCATAAATTTTCCCCAAACAGTTCACTGAGAATGATAGTGAGCACCCAAGAATTTCCTTCAAGGATCAACAGTAAGAGTCCCTTCATTTTCTGACCTTCAGTGAGCCAAGATCCCCTACAGCACACACAGTGCAGAGATATCCTAGACATACCTCAACTGCAAACAAGACTGCCACCAGGACACATTAAGACAGTACCTGTGATCTGAACCACAGGGAGATTTCTCTGACAGCTTCAGCTATGCATTGGGCTCACTCAGCTGAAGTCAGCAGTCCCCAGAGTGCCTCAAGCATGCTGCTGGCCTCAAAGGCCAGCATGCTTGGCCCAGGCCCCAATCACTGTAGGACACCCAGGACTTCAAAGAAGACCTCTCAGAGCAGCCTCCTCCCAACTCCTCCTTGCCAAAACGCAGCTGAGGCAGCCTTGAAGCTAAATATTTGGATTGAGTGGGACAGAGAATGTGGTCTCTCTGAGAGGTATTTTACCAAGGCCATCGGGAGAGGACCAGCTCAACACAGGCATGCTGTGTCTTCCCAGGATTAGATAGCAATGGTGCCTTTGTGCATTCAGCAGACTTATATCTGCAAACCTCCTAGGCTAAGCAACTACAAGGTGCTAAGAAAGTCTCAGTCTGTCTCCAAGAGCCCATGGCACCCTCTTCTTCATCATTGGAATACAAAGGGTAAAATCTTCCTCATATATGCAGAAACAAGCAGTCTTTCCACAGAGAATTGTTGCACACCAGGGAATAGATTTCAATGTGACTGCAACTCCCACCTTCTGAATCAAGTTCTACCTCCTTCTATACAAACCACTTTTGAGATTTTCATGTAGTAATGATAATACCCAACATACATATGCCATTCATTATTGGGAAACGGGGCCTTGAGAGATAAGAGAACTCAGTTCCGGTTTCCAGCCTCCACCAATCGTGTGATCTGAGAGTGCATTAGTGATTCAGTCTTACCTGTAAAGTGGATGCAAGAATGAGCTCCCTCTTTCATCCTTAACACCGGGATGTGTTGGTGATCTAAGTCATCTCATATTTCCAAAGCCCTTTACAATACCCAGCACCTGAAAAAAAGAAGTGATGACAGCAATTATTCCAAAGAAAATGACCACTGGAGCCTGGAGGAGATTAGGGCCAGAGGGAACTTAGACATCCTTTTACAAGTGCTGTATTAGCTTGCCTCAGTTGATCTAAGAGCAAAGCCTGGCTTAGATCTCTTCGCCTGTCCCACCCCATTGCCCTTATTTATTCCTTAATGTTCCCAAACATTTGATAAACACATTTGTTCTCTGTGAACTAGATATGACACATGATGTGCCCCAAGTTTATAGGCAAGGGAATTCTGGCACAAGGATTACAAGAATTATCTCAAATGGCACAGTGAGCGGGTGGCCAGGGGTCTCAGTACTCATCTTCTCAAGGAATGTCACTCAAAACACCACCAACAAGAGTATTTGCCAAAACACCAAGTATTTGCCCTTTAAACTGTTTCTAATTAATATTTTAATTAAAATAAAATTATATAATTTACCCCTTTCCTCCTTCTAATCCATCCCATATATACATCCTTTCCACTTAAGTGCTTCTGCTCCAAAATCATGACCTCTTTTTCTTAATTGCTATTAATTGCTATATATATTTTCAATTAGATAGATGGATGGGTAGATGGATGGATGGATGGATAGATAGATAGATAGATATGTAGATCCCCAACCTCTCAGTCCAATCTGGTATGTATAGGATTTCAGGGCTGACCACTTGGTATTAGATAACCAATTATGGTGTTCATCTTTGGGGAAGATTGTGTCTCCAACTCTTAGCATTTCTTAGTTGCCTGCAGCTTTTGGTTAGGGTTGGGGCCCCTTGGGATTTCATTCCTCCAGGGTAGCATGTCTGTCTATAGGTAAGCAGCCATTGTTGAGGTATCGTGAGGAAAACTTCCATCTCTTTTCTAGGAGACAAAATCTCACAGCAGATTTTATGATCCTCTGACTCTTCAAGTCTCTCTTTGCCCTCTTCTGCAATGTTCCCTAAAGGATCAACTGTTCTCTGCATGATGACTAAGCCTTAGGGTCAGTTGTTTTCTGCATGTTGATTGTCTATGACTGTAATGGTCTATTACAATCAGAAGTTTCTTCGATGAGAGGTGAGGGCTGCACCTATCTCTGGATATAAGGATACATTTTAAAAGTAGGCTATGCATCTGAACAGAAAGTTCTCAGAAGAAGAAATAATGGTGACTAGGAAATATTTCAAGAAATGCTTATCATCCTTAGCAATCAGGGAAATGCAGACCAGAACACAACCAAGATTTCATCTTATCCCAATTAGAATGGCTAAGATCAACAAAACAACCGACAATAAATGTTGGTGAGGAAAATGAAACTCTTACTCACTCTTGGTAGGCCTGCAAACTGGTGTGACCAGTCTGGAGTTCACTGTGGAGAAATCTCTAAAAGCTGTAAGTAAATATGACCCAAATATACCACTCTTTGGCTTTTGCCATCCTACTCTACATATATTTGCTTATGTTACTTGCTGCTCTATTCACAATAACTAGGAAATGGAAACAACCAAAATAACCTTCAATGGATGAAGCGATAGCAGAAGTGTGATATGTGTATGTATACATACGTGTATATACACAGTGTATACATATATACTATGGAATACTATTCAGCATTAAAACAAGGAATTTTGCATGTATATGGATAAACCTACCTAAGCTCATATTGAATGAGATAACTCAGACTCTGAAAGACCAACACCACATGCTGTAGCTCATCTGTGGTTCCTAGCTCCAAATCCTCAGATGTGAGTACAGAGCCTAAAGGAAAGGAGACCATGGAGAGGAAGGATCTAGAGAGAGCAACAGCAGAAAGGAATGCCATTGATTAGAAAGGGAACAAGAAAGAAGAAGAAAAAAACCCAGAAACACAGAAAAGGGTTCATCACAGCTATTAAATATTGCCAAAAGACAAGAATATAAAAGAAGGATTCGATTGATGTTGCCAAATTCTGTGGTAAAACATTACAATGGAAAGTTCAGTAAACATGAAGGCAAGATGAACAGCATCCACAGGGAAGCAATTTGCTGGCCTTGTGTTAGCACTTATTTTCACGGACATATTAATACACTTGACTAAAACAAGGGCTTCCTTTTGCTTACAGTTTCAGGATACAGTGGACCGCAGCAGCAGAGGCATGGTAGTAGCAAGAGGGGGTGACCAGTCACATTGCATCTACAGTCAGACAGCTGAAAGAAAATTCTGCTACTCTACTCCCTTTCTTCTATTTATTCACTTTGGGACTACAGGCTGTGGAACAGTGCTATCCACATTGAAGTAGGGCTTTTCTTTTCAGTTAAACCTTTTTGAAAGCACTGTGGACACATACCCCGGGGTATGTTGCTGATGGGAATTTTCTGCTTTACTCTGACTCCATTTTCCTTATCTTAAATCATATATCAACCTTCCAGTTTTCACTCTGGACTCTTTGTAAGGAACACAGTAGCTCCAGAATGCCCCTTCTTGAAGGGATATACTTGATCATAATATTCCTGCTAAAAACCAACCAATGGCTTATTCATTATCACTAAAGGACAATGTCTAAGTTGAAATGATAGGCTCTGATGGTAATCTTTACTGTCATCATGATTGGATTGAGAGAGGACTGTGAAGATTTGTAGAGCACACTTTGGGTTTACCTCTAGAGGCATTTCCAAAGCACTGGTGAGGTGAAAAGGACCTCCCCTGAGTGTAGACAGGACAAACCAGGAGGCTGTGGCCTCAGAAGGAAGAAAAGGAAAAAATGAGAAAGCCTATTAGCAGATGCATTTTCTCACTCCCACCCTCCTTCATGGACATCTTATGAATTTCTCTATTCCACTCTTCACCAGGATGAACAAAACCTTTGGAACTCTGAGCCAAAATAAGTCCTTTCTCCCTTTAGTTGTTTTTATAGACATCTTATTGTACCATCATGAATCTGACTGACACATGAGCTAAGGAGTCTGGGGTACTCCCTATTTTATTTTACATTATCTGAGTGACATGGGCAAGGCAATTTTTAAGGATAAAGGTTTATTCAGGTTACAATATGAGAAGTCCAAGGTTAAAGAGCGACATTAGGTGAGGAATTCTTCTTTAGCTCCTCAGTGTGGAACAGGCCATCACGTGGGATTGCTGCCAAATATCACAGCCACATTAGGTTACAACTCTCTTTTTTAAAGATATGTTTCTTTTTACTTTGTGTGCATGAGTGTTTGCCTAAGTGTATGATATATATATATATATATATATATATATATATATATATATATATATATATATATATATATATATATATAGTGTTGGGGGGGGAGGTGTCACTTGAGGCCAGAAGAAAACATCAGATAACCTAGAACTGGAGGTGCAGGTATAGTGAGATGGCATGTAATGCCAGGAACAGAACCAGGATCCTCTGTAAGAGCAGCAAGTGCTCTTAACTGCTGAGACATCTCTCTAGCCCTACAACCCTCTTAATGCCTCACAGTGAAGACTAAATTTAAAAATGAGCCTCACAGGAGGCAAACAGTGGCAGAGTCTTTGGTCTGGCCTCTCCCTTCCTTCTAGCTTCATTTCAATTAGTTTTCCCCAAATGTCCCCAATATCAGGTTCCCTCACACTGAACTCGGGTCATTTCCTTCAACATTCTATTTTCCTTTTGGCATCTGTTCCTTATCAACGACTATGTCCTCTCTCTAAGATGTTCTTTCTTTCAGAGGGTACACTTGACTGTTTCCTCACTTCCCGAAAAAAGCATTACAGTTAGGAAGACTTTCCTATCTTCTCTTGGTAGGCTGTATCTATTCCTGTGATACAGGTCAGCCATGGAATCATCTTACAGAAACAGCAAAAATAGCTCTCTGTCACGTCTCCCCTCCCCCTCATGCTGTACCTCTAGATAGGGCACATGGCTTATGTTTCTTTTGTATCTATATTCTGCTGTACATGGGTGTCTACTGAGGATTCCCTTAGAATAGGACACTTCTACAATCATTTTTTTTCAAACTTGAAACAATATTTTGATAAGCTTTTAAATCTGACTTTAAAATTTGCATTTTTCCTGGGCATTTTTCATCCTGGGGGATACTTTGGAAACGAATTTTAATAAAATCAGGTTCTGTAAGATGAATAGATTCTAACTTGTTAATAGTTATGTTATTTTAGAAGTCTTCTTGATATCTGCACATTACTTAGAACTGCTGTACTAGACAAACAGCAAGATGACCAAGAACGTGACCTGGGTGGCTCTGAAGGTCGAACAAGGATTGACAGAGGAAGGTTGGGGCAAGTAGACTTGAACTCATCCTGAGAAAAGCCATCCTGGAGTCAACAAGTGACCCCTCTGGATGGGAACAGTCTCTCGGTTGTTAAAGGCATCTGTGGGGACAAATGCCAGAGTGTGGAGTTTGAAAGGAAGGGCTCTAGAGACAGGGCTGGGATTTAGCCCAAGCTTAGCCATTTTCTGGCCGTGTGGGCTGACACAAATGCTAGAATAACCTCGCTGTGCTTCCACATCTTCTATGAAGTAGACTGTATCCCTTGCAGTAGTACATGAGCAAGCCTGTCTGGCAGCACAACCGGATTAAGCATCTATTAACCAGAACGTGTTGGTTAAAGGGTTGATTAGGCGGCACAACTGCATAGCAACTCTCACATTTGTGGTTTAAGCTGACCCTACACGTGACAGTGTACCGGCACAGTGACGTCACTCCAAAGGACCCCACTGGCATTTGCCAGGGTACACTCTGGTCTGTTTGTTTCCAGATTCGTGCCTCCTTATTTACCTTTTTATGAGCAAAGCCAACTTTAGTGCTGTCACTTTGCAAGCCGTGACGGGGGGGGGGGGGGGGGGGGGGGGGGACGGGGGGGGGGGGGGCTGTGTGGCTTATCCACCCTGGGATCAAATAGCTGCCTTGTAAAAGGAGTGTTGCAATCTTGAAATGTCCATAAATAAGGATTCGAACATTATCTCCCATCATGTGATGTGGTAAGGGTAAATACAGAGTCTTTCGGGGGAAG